AGAGAGAAAGAAAGAAAGAAAGAAAGAAAGAAAGAAAGAAAGAAAGAAAGAAAGAAAGAAAGAAAGAAAGAAAGAAAGAAAGAAAGAAAGAAAGAAAGAACTGAGGGAAGCCTGGGTGTGACTCCAGTGCCCAAGATACTGAGGCTGAAAGTTCAGAAGTCAGATAAGGTTATATAAGAGTTCAAAGCCAGGCTACACAGCAAGCCTCTGTCTGAAATATATCATCATATATAAAATATATTGTATATATTTTAATATATTACATTAATATATAATATAAATTAATATGAAGAGGGAATGGGTAAAAACACATGAACACATGCAAAGAGCCGAAGTGGTGCTGAGCACTGTGAACAGCCCCCAGAGCCCTCTGGTGGGTTTCATTCATAAGCAGGTAGACGCCTTATCTTCTTCAGGCTCACCAAAGGTGCAGTTTGGGGTGGGGGCGGTGGGGGAGAGCTACACAGACACCTGGGATCAGTCGCATACTTGGTGTTTAAAGGCAAAAAGGAACCACAATACCAAAGCAGGAGAGAAGAGGCCAGGCCCCCTGCTTTGTATGAGGCTCTAGCATCAGACAGTCCAGAGCTGAAACCCATCCTGGCTCTAGGGATAACATGGATGTATCTAATAGGTCTATCTAACAGGCAACCCCCAAGGGGAGCTTCATGTGCCCTCTTGGTACTGATGACAGCGTAATTATACCTCAGGGTAGGAGCAGGGAGGAGTGCCGTAGTTAGGGTTACTATTGCTGTGCTGAAACCCCAGGACCAAGAGCAATTTGGGCGGAAAGAGTTTGTTTGGCTTACACTTCCACATCATTGTTTATCACTGAAAGAAGTCAGGACAGGAGCTCAAACAGGGACCCGAAAGCAGGAGTCAGTGCAGAGGCTTACTCATCATGGTTCCCTAAGCCTGCTTTTTTATAGAACCCAGGACCACCCGCCTAGGGCTGGCCCCATCCACAATAGGCTGGGCCTTCCCCTATGCATCATTAATGAAGAAAATGCCATGGCTGCTGGGTGGTGGTGTTACACAACTTTAATCCCAGCACTCGGGAGGCACAGGCAGGTGGATCTCTGTGAGTTCAAGACCAGCCTAGTCTACAGAGTGAGTTCCAGGACAGCCACGTCTGTTACATAGAGAAACCCTGTTTTGGGATAAACAAACAAACAAACAAACAAACAAACAAAAACCCTTACAACTTGATCTTACAAAGGCATTTTCTCAATTGAGATTCCCTCCTTTCAGATGACTTTAGCTTGTGGTCAGGTTGACATAAAACTAGCCACATAGGAAGCTAGAAAGAGAAAATAATCTTTAATTGGTCCCTTCTTCCGCTAACTGGGGCTTCTCCTTCTGAGTCAATGAATGTTGTCCTCCGCCTACAAAAGAACTCAGAGTGGGGAAGGAAACGCCAGAGATGCCAGCCCTTGGTCTGTGATGCCAGCCCTTGGTCTGTGTTAGCAACCTCCTCCAAGTGAACACAGAAGGCTCCAGAGACCAGAGTCTCATCCACAGGGACCCTCGCTGTCACATGCCTGCTGGCACACCCTCCCTTGCCTTTTCACTATGGGAGAGACACGGGAATCCCACTGGAAGCCGGTCTTTGAAAGTAAACAACAAGCACAAACAGGCTGAGGAACCTGGAGGAAGTGCTGGGTGGTCTCAGCATCTGGGGTCAGCTCCTGTGCAGACACAGACACCACCTGTCTCAGGCAGGAATGTGAAGCCAGTGTCCTCAGGTTCAAGACATAGTTCTCTGGCTCCACAATAGGAGAATAATAATCCTATGTAAATGAACGGATCTCTGGGGCCAGAACACAGACCATGCTGAACAAGAGGTGCCTTAAAAAATGTATACAAGGAGAGGAAGCCTGGAATTCTAGCACTCCGAGGCTGCAAAGAGGACTGAATGCTTGGGGCCAGCCTGGGCTACATAGTAAGACCCTGTTTCAGAAACAAACAGAGCTAGGGAGGCAGTTGGTAGAGTGCTTGCCTAAGTTCCATCCCCAGGACCACGTAAAACCGGACACAGGAGGATCAGAAGTTCCTTGTCATCCTCAGCGGCCATCTTGGAACACATGAGACTGTTTAAAAAAAAAAAAAAAGAGGAGGGAGGGAAGGAAGCCAGGAAGGGAGAGAGGGAAAGACACAGTTGAACAACAGGAACCGCCTGCTGTTTTCCTGTCCTGTGTCCATGTCTTCTAATAAACTTTGGCAGTTTGGCGGGGTGGGGGCAGGGTTAGGACTGTTTGCTACAGAGACAGCACCCAGCGTAGTGTGCATTCTAGGTAGGTGCTTCACCACGGGCTCACTTCTAGCCCAGAGCCGTGAGTTTGTTCAAGATGGCCATGCCCAGGGCCAAGTCAATTATTATAATCAGTTTCCCAGCCTTCTTTGCAACCTAGCAGCCATGTTACCCAACTCTGGACGGTTCGATTTAAGCCCAGTTGTTAGGCGGGAAGGATTCTTATCTTAAACAAAAGATTCCCTTTACTGGTAAGGATGGGTGGGTACATGCGGCTGGGACCCGTTCCTTCTCTTGCCCCTCCTTGAGCCTAATTCCAACCACGGACCCTGAAGCTGAGGCAGGCACTCCAGCCACAGGCACAAGAACAAAGCCACATGCTCAGGATAGCAGCAGAGGAGTCCGAAAAGCTCCCAACGGTATCCTTGAGCGTCTGGCCGAATGGATGCAATCACTTACCACAAAGCTTATTATCATGGGAGGAAAGAGCTCTATACACGTTTCCAACCACTGCCAGGTCGTCCCCGTTACGGACAGCTAGCTGAGAGCATTCGTACCGTACGTACCCAGCAAGAAACCAACAAAAAACGCAGATGCCCGCGGAAGAGGCAGCAGCCGCCCAGAGACTCTGAGATCTTGAAGCAGCTCCCCAGGGCACATTACCTATCATGGCAGTGGCATAACCAGCCCGCTGCAGCACCTCGGCCAAGGTGGTCTCGTTGAGAGGCAGCCCCCCTACAGACGTGACGGCAAAGTTGTGCGTGACTCCGTTACGTAGACCCAGCCGGCCAGTCAGCAGGGAGGCTCGCGAAGGAGAGCAGGTGGAAGCCGCTGCGTGGAAGTCTACGAACCTACAAGGAAAGGGCACCAGCTCAGGACCTGGCCAGCTACAGGAAGCCAAATGAAAAGGAATGTGGGGCGGAGGGGCGCAGGGGGAGGGGGTAATTGGGGACTGGAATGATAGCCCTGAGAAAAACACTTTAGAAATCACCCGGTGGTGTGCGCAAGTTGGGAAGAAAACTAGTCCGCGGTTAACTCAGGTTGACAGGGCCAATCCTCTTTATTTACAGATTTTGCATGTCAAAGTCACTCACTTCAGGGAGTTTTTGAACCTCCAAATTAATATGTGAGCCAGTTTAGAATTATCCATGGGTGGAAACAGACATGCAGGAGAGATGAGTCAGTGATTAAAAGTACAGACTGCTCTTGCAGAGGACTAGAGTTCAGTCCCTAGCACCCATGTTGGGCAACCTGTAACCCCAGCCCCAGGAAATCCAGCACCCTCTTCTGGCTTCCATGGGCAATCGCCCTCATGTGTAAATACTCCCACAAAGACACATAGACACAAAATTTAAAAGAAAAATAATGATGATGATCTAAAAAAAAAAAAAAAAATAGACTTAGAAAAAAATATGAGTTCCAGGGCTGGGAAGACGGCTCAGTCTGTTTGATGTCTGAGGTTGAATTCCCAGCACCCATGTAAAAACCTAACATACCAACACACACCTATAATCCTAGTGTGAGGGAAGTGGAGACAGGAGGATTCCCTGAGTTCAATAGCCAGCCTTCTAGCCTTTCTGAAGAAGTGAGCTCCAGGTTTGGTGAGAGATCCTGTTTCAAAATATAAGTTGGGACTGGATTGATTGTCCAGTAGATAAATGTGCTTGCTGGCAGGCCTGATGATCTGATCAATCCTCAAGACCCACACTGTGGGCAGGAGAGAACTGAGTTCCCAAAGCTGTCCTCTGACTTCCATATGCACACCACGGCATAAGTATGTTGTGGAATATTATTTTAAGGCTTGTTACATTTGTTTATGTCCTGGAACATTTATTTAACAATGCAAAGATGTGTTGCATTCTTTTATGTTGCATTTGTTTAACTCTGTGAAGCTGTGATACTTTGCCTATCTAAAACACCCGATGGTCTAATAAAGAGCTGAATGGCCAATATCGAGGCAGGAAAAAGGATAGGAGAGGCTGGCAGACAGAGAGAATAAATAGGAGAAATCTGGGAGAAGAAAGAACAAGAGAACAAGGAGAGGAGGACACCAGGGGCCAGCCCCCCAGCCCCCCAGACAGTCATGGAGTAGGAGTGAAAGTAAGATATACAGAAATAAGAAAAGGAAAAAGCAGAGGCAAAAGGTAGACAGGATAAATTAAGAAAAGCTGGCAAGAAACAAGCCAAGCTATGGCCAGACATTTATAATTAAGAATAAGCCTCCATGTGTGATTTATTTGGGAGATGGGTGGTAGGCACCCAAAAAGAGAAAAAATAACCAACTACACAAGTGTGTCCACACATACACAAAACAAATGTAATAAAAACTATTTTTTATTAATGTGGAGAGCAATCCAGAAAGACACTTGACATCAATTTATGGCCTCCACATGCACACATAGCTGCACATATGCTTATGAACACACACAAATGCAAACAACATACACACACACACACACACACACACACAGAGAGAGAGAGAGAGAGAGAGAGAGAGAGAGAGAGAGAGAGACTCGCTTGCTCCAATGCACACATTCCTGTTGAGATCAGACAAACTTACTCTCTCTCATCCTGTTTCAGCTTTGAGGCTATTAGTAAGTGTCCCTTGACCCCTCTATTGAGTACCATGGCTTTTACTTTTCATATTTTTGTGGGTGATTCCACTGTGTGAAAGGGCCCCTGAGTAAAGTGCTAAGTGCTGTCTAGCGTTCCTATGCACCAGAGAGCCGTGAGGTGCCTTACAGAGATGTGCATGTTCCCCGAGCTGTTTGGGAATGAGTTACAGCGCAGCTGGCTGAGCTCAACGCTAATGACTCAGAAGTATGTATTAAACAAACACGGTGTCTTTAAACAGAATCACACATAAAACAAGGTTATGAATTGACTGACTGATAAAAATGTTGCACCCAGGGGCTCGCAAGAATGCAATGCTGTATTTCCAGGCAGAATAAGGGTTGCGGTATCTGCTGCTTGCTGTGACCACACAAAATGCAAGAACTTCCTGGCTCTGTTACATATGATTGTGTGCCCATGCTTACTTTATATAGGAATAGAAAAGAATTCCAGGGCAAGCAGGGTGGCTCAGAGGATAAAGGCGCATGCCATCAAGTCTGATGACTTGAGTTCAATTCCTGGGTCTCACATGGTGGAAAAGAGAATCAATTCCTATGACTTGTCCTCTGACCTCTACATGAGGTGTGACAGGCATATAACACCACCCCGAACATGCACACAAGATAAATACAACATAATGTAAACATGTTCTTTAAAAATTATAGGCATGGGAGCTGGGAGGTGGTGGTACACACCTTTAATCCCAGCACTCGGGAGGCAGTGGCAAGTGGATCTCTGTGAGTTCGAGGCCAACCTGTCTACAAAGTGAGTTCCAGGCCAGCCAGAGCTATTACACAGAGAAACTCTGTCTAGAAAACCAAAAAAAGCAAAAAAAATCTAGGCATGGGGCCAGAGAAATGGCTCAGTGATTAAAGGCGCTTGCCACCAAACCAAAAATCTGGGTTCGATTCCTAGGACCCACGTGGTAGAAAGAGAGAACTAACCCCCACAAGTTGTCCTATGACCTCCACACTAGTGCCATTGTATGTATGTGTTCAACTCCCCGTATGAATAAATAAAATATGATAAGATTTTTTAAAAAAAAATTCTAGGCCTGTCCTCACCCATAAAGGAACATGCAGCCTAGTTAGAAAACAAGACTAGGGGCTGGAGAGAAGATTCAGCAGTTAAAAGCACTTGTTCTCATAGGGGAATAGAGTTTGGTTCCCAGCACCCACATGGTGGTTCACAACCATCTGCAGCTCCAGACCCAGAAGGTCTAATGCCCTCTTCTGGCCTCTGAAGGCACCAATCACATATGTGGTACACATACATGCATGCAGGCAAAATACTCACACACATTAAAAAAAATCTAAAAAGAAAAATAATGTAAAGAAAGCAAGAGTGGAATAGCTAAAGAACAACAGTGGGCGAGAGTCGATAAACAAGACCCCAAGCCCATGACAGAGACAGTGGGATGCAGGCTGGAATGTTTCGGAACTGACTGGGGAGGGGAAGGACTTGATAAGGACCCAAGCTTAGCAAAAGATTCCACGGAGCGGGCAGGACTCAGGTTGGAATCTAAAAGATGGGGCTGTTGGGGACACTTTGAAAATCACAAGGGCAGGCATTCCAGTAGAGGAAGTTTGGTACTAGAAGAATTGATGGTTAAGGCTGATTGTCAACTTGGTAGCATTCAGAACCACTTAGGAGATCCACCTCTGTGTGTGTCTGTGAGGGTATTTCCAGTGACGATCCAGCCTGACTGTGGGCGGCGCCATCCCATGAACTGGTGTCCATGACAGAACTCATCTTGCTTTGCTTCTGACTTGTGAAGGCACCATGACCAGCTGCCTCATGTTCCTTCCACCATGTCTCCCCCGCCATCATGGACTGCACCCTCAAACTTGTGAGACAAAAGAAACTCCTCCTTGCTAACATTGCTCATGTAACTGATACAAAAGGTAAGCCAAAAGCTAGTCTTCAATATAAAATAAGCAAGGTTTCTCACAAGGGGCGGAGAAGTGGCCTGTGGTAGAGGGCTGCGAACAAGATCCTTGGGGATATGCTGTCCTATGGATTGATTTCTGTACCATGCAAATGTCAAATCTGGGAAAAATGCAAAGTGAAACTTCAAAGGAGAACCAAGAAGACCTCATAAGAAAAAAACAAAACAGAAGCAAATGAGTCTCCCTATCCGACAAATTTCAAAGAAGAACGCCCAGAGGGAAGAATCATTTCAGGTGACTTTAGCACATGGCGTTCAGGCTGTCCATCCCAATAGGATAAAAAGAAATCTAAGAACACCCAAAAAGTATATTACAAGGCAATCTTAAACTTTATACAGTGGCTTTATTATTGGTGGAAGTGTTAATATAGGGATTTGGGGGACAATTTCATGTGTATGAGAGAGTAATGTAAATAAGTAAATATATTAATGCTCCTAACAGGGAGCCAAGATTTTCACCGTCAGAAAATACAAGAGCTATAAGATGTTAGGAAAAGCCTATAATATAAAAGTTACTGGCAGCACAATGACAGGGTGGGGGCTACAGCTCAGTGGTGGAGCGCTTGTCTGGCACCCTCGGGGCTCTGGGTTCAGCTGCAACACCACAAGAAAAAAGTGAGTTAGAAAGAAAACGTCATTATGCATTTATAATTTAAAAAAAAATCTATTGCCAACTTACTAGCAACTGACAGAAAGAAGCATCACTTTCCCCTCCCATCAAAACAGCAAGCATACCCTCACCCAGCCTTTGTTTTCAACACCATCGCACATTCAAAGAATGACATCTCCTAGGAGAAATACCTAATTCCCGGTTTGAGATAATTTGGGCATCAGAAGAATAAGTATATGCTTGGGAGACATAGTTCATTGGTACAGTGCTGGCCCAGCATGCACAACTCCCGGGGTTGGATCTCCATCAACACACTCACACTCACACACACACACACACACACACACACACACACACACACACACTCATGCATGCATGCACACAGGCATACACACAGGTACACCGGGTCATTTCTCACCATTGAAAAAGAATTTGATACCAATTCCACATTCTAAACATTCCTAATTAAAGGTAAATAATTAAGCACATGCCCTGACCCTCTGGATAGACCCACAGCCTCAGCCAGGGAGAACACTCCTTTGCATCAACTAGCTCACACCAAAAGCACAGTAGCCTTGGGAAATGACCATGTGTACAACGTCCCCCAAAAAATAACTGGTGACCAGTGGACATGGGTGGACACTCTGTCACCCTCTGTCACCCTCTGTTCATTTATGAATTGGACAGGACTGGCAATTAGCTCCCTATGAAGGGATTAGATTTAGTGTCACTAATCATTTGCCCGTGACCTTTTATGCCTCCTGATGGGATGAAAGATGAAGTGTATAAAAGAAAGGACTCCGCCAAAAACACTCAACCTGAATCTAATCAGACTTCTGAATCTAATTTCCAGGGTACAGGAAATCCAGCTACGAGGATAAGAGTCAACTAGGTCACAGGGAAACAAACAAATCAGTGCTCTGGAGTTGCGAGACAAGGGGTCCAGCCACTCCAAAGAGCCGGCGGGGGGG